AATGACGTGAGGTAGTCTTGATTGAACGTTGAGTTTTCAAGTGGTCAGTTGGGGGTTTGTTTTTAATACGCTCGGAAATGTCCGTTTCAGCAAGCACCTCCCAACGACAAACCGTTGGCGGTTCAAACCAAATGATATCGTCCGGTAAACTGGTGGAGATAAAGAGATAAAAACACTTCACTTTTTTACCACTTGATAGGATACGTTGAAAAAGGAGACTAAATTATAAGGAAAAAGTCTTTTATTGTTGGTGGCGATACTCACGTGATTGTCACATAAGACAATTTGCTCAATCCTCGTTCGATTGCCTTCATTTCGGTTTCGACCTCTTCTGGCAGGCGACGTACACCGGCCGGTATTGGATCCGGCATTCGAAAGTATTGGAAAAACTGACGTCTCTTTAGGGACTTTGAACCACCAACTAAACGAGAGAACGGAATTAAAAGAATTTATTATCACCAGAAGGTTCCGATATCGATTTACTTGTTCTCAAGTACGATTTGGCCGACAACTTCACACTTTGCTCCGGCTGTTCAAAGTAATCCAAACAGTAAATTCCACCCACAATACGATATTGTCGCAAATTAATTTCGAATTCCTTCAGATTCAAGACGTCCCGTCCCTTACGATATCGATCCTTCTTGATGATATCATTTATATAGTCCATATAAAGTTTATCGACATCAACAATTGGCATGTTTAACAATTCAAAATTATCAAATGGCACCGCACCATCATTGGCCTTCGATTTTGTGTCATTTTCAATGCGTGCAACTTTTTCCAGTTCCTTGCGTTTTGCCCATTCTTTTTTCGCTGCTTCATTCAAATCCATTTTGATTGGACGATCGCCGGGCATATAAAACGATGGACAAAAATCGCTGAAATGATCATAGTTCAACCACATTCCACGTATAGCACCGTTCTTACATTTCACCGACGGCGGCAGCGATAAATTGAGACGGATCGATGGAAAGTCGATGCTGATGTAATTTCTGAATATTTAAAGAAAAAGTTGAATGGGTCCATGATGGCTGCATATTGAGAGAACTTACTTGGCTTCTTTTTGACGCTCTTTTTCGTTACTGAAAATGGTAAAAATTGGTTTGAAGAAGAGTTTTATTTTGAAATAAACAAAAATCTATCTCACAGAAGCGGTTGTGGTATATCCCGCTTGGTCCAAAGGTGCGATTTGAATACGTCACACTCGTAAAAATGGGTGGCAATCAAAAGTCCTTCAAGCCTGTCAATTTGATTTTTTTAATCTTAATTTTGGGAGAGGGGCCATGGAATGTAAAAAGTACTTACTTCATGTCTCGATCGATGTTGGACAAAATTTTGAATGAAAAATCGTCGATGTATTCGATGAGCTTGTGGCGTAGTTCCAATTTTAGTCGATGCAATTCACTGATGATTGACTCACGAAGTGTTGTTGGCTGTTGTTCGATTGCTTCATCGATTTCTTCAAGAATCTGTATCAACACGAAAAAATTGAGATTTACGCTGAAAACATTGTTATATAACCTCACTACGTAGCTGTCATGTCAATTCACCACACACTGATGTTTCTGGTTTGAAAGAGTGTGATTTTTTGGCGCTATTTATCAAATCTTCAAGTAATTTCCCAAACTTACCCCCAAAACATGAAGTGTTCGTTTGGAATATACATCGCCAAGAATTGGTTGTTGCTGCTGCAAATAAACTTTGGTCGCATTTTCAATATTTCGATTTTGCGTTAAAATTGTTCGTTCATCCGTTCGTAATAGCCAATTTTGTTCATTTTCATTGTATCGATCACATTCCATTTGCCACATGTGCAGGTATTTTCGCAAATCTCCCGGATCATATGCATTTGGGAGGCCATTGCACCGCATGTATCGTTTCCACTGTGAATGAGATTTGATGAAGGATTAAAATGCTGTTGTGAACTGGTAAAAACACAGAAAAGTTGATAATAAGATGAAATTCCTTATTTGGTATACAAGAATACCTCCTGTAGTTTTCGTTGCTCAGCATGAATTTCTTCGATCTCCTCACTAATTTCTGATTTTGATGTTTTAACATTTATGATAAGAGAGAAAAAATGAAAAAAATAGACATTAGTTCAGTAAATAAGCAACATATTTCCCAAAAAAACAAAGCCGTACGAAAGTGAGAAAAGTTCAAAAAACTGATTTACCTTTGAAAAATGCACAACTTTCGGCTAATTGAACACGTCGCATTTTATTCTCTTGAAATTCACGTTTTTGACGGTCTCGGGCTTCGGACAGCTGCTTCAACTTTAGATTACGTTCTTCCTCTAATTGACGTTGTCTGTGGGAAAATGTGGTGAGTTTTGAATGTTTACCACTAATCACTTCAATATTTTTTTCAATCTTTTAAATTTAATGAATTTGTGTTGCAGAAGTTCGATTTTTTTATTAATTGTAAACTGAAATTGCATATTGGAATATAGATAATAACAAACCTTTCCTTCTCCATTTCAATTCGAAGAGCCTCAGCCTTTTCGGCTTCATACTTTTTCCGCTCTTCTTTGCTCATTTTCTTTTTACCCATCTTGAAAGTTGTTTTTTGTGTTTCTTTCGATTTTTTTTTTAATTTCAAACTCAAACTTCAACTCCTTACAAAAAATACTTCTACTTACACACTAGGTGTGTTGCGGAAAAGTAATTGAGTAACAATGCTACAATTGCACCAATTTTTGTGAAACGACCAAATGTATTGTTCGAATGTTAATCTATTCTTTATCAACGCGAAAATAAACAAAAAATTGCTTTTTTACGCCA